CGCATGCACGGAGAGAACATGCAAACTCTACCCAGAAAGGTCTTGTAAACATGTTGTAACAATTTCTGCAGTTTATAGCAAAGTATTTGAACCATTTGTACATTTATAAATAATTTGTTTGCACCGCTACGTTCTGCTCATTGATTTCAATGGTTAGCATTAGCTTCAATGCATAAAAATCCCCCTTGTGAAGCCACATCCAGGTCACGTGACACCCAATCCAGTAATACATTTCAAGGTAGCTGCCGTCTGGAACCATGAACTCTCCCACTTTCCTACAGGGCGTTCCAAATTCTATGTGGAAATTTGAGTTTGACACAAGCTATAAAAGCTTAGAAAAGGGGATTGGACAGCAGTCTACAGGAAGCTATAAATAAAAACATTCACTTAACAAAATGTTCCAGTCTTGATAAAAGTGTTGAATTCTGGACTTGTTTCAGTGTTTGTTCTCCTTCTGATGTTTTCTCTTCTCTCCTCCAGGAAACTCCCAACTCTGTTTTTCTGGTCATGGAAGTAAGTAAATAAACTAACGTCTGAGTATTTCATGTGTCACATCTTTTATCTTTTTGTTTTGTGTTGCTGAGGATACAGAATTCTGCAGAAGATGTCATGTGTTGTCATTTAGCTGATGAAAGAACTTGATTTTCCTCCATCCTTCACWCTTCTTTCACATTGTGCTCACTTTACTTGCATAAACTTCAGATCCATTGCAACATTCTGTGTTCAAAATTTACACATTTCAAAAAGATCAAAGAAAATACTATATTTCATTTTCTCTTTAGCTAATGTGGCTAACTCGCTAGCAGCGTTGATCAGACGCTCACAGACCAGGCCTATTTTTTGTGTTTTTATTGTGTTTACCTTTTGTGTGTTACTTATAAACATAAGCCAATCCTGATAAATCCTAAATTTCTTTAAAAAGCATTAAAACTTTGTCAGAATCGTCACAGTCTGTCCCTCCTTTAGTGTTTGTTTGTGTGAAAATAGACCCATTAAAACCCGCAGAGTATTCTGTGCTGTTGATAGTTTGTCTCCTCACATGCAGTACTGCAACGGAGGTGACCTGGCCGACTATCTGCAAGGTAAGCATCACTAATCTGCCCTTCACCCACACAGGTTGTCATTTAACAAGGTTCTTACTATTGCAGTGGAGAAAGTCATGTGACTGTTAATGTCTGTGTGAATGCTGTCTTTAAATGGGATTTATGTTTTATGTCTACACACAACCTGCTTTTGTGTCGACAAACAAAACGTATTGAGTTCATTGTAAAAATGTGTTCCAGCTAAAGGAACGCTGAGAGAGGAGACTCTGAGAATTTTCCTGCAGCAGATTGCTGCAGCCATGTGCATCCTGCACAATAAAGGAATCGTCCACCGAGATCTGAAACCTCAGAACATTTTACTGTCGTATGTGACTCGCAAGAAGTCCAGCACGAGCGCCATCCGCATCAAAATAGGTACAAATATTCTACTTACTGGAAAGCTGTTTACAGGTGATGTGTTTGTGTGAACTGAAGACAGAAACTGTGGTTCAATGAGTTCAGTACTTTGACTTTGGACTCAGACTCGAACAGTGGTGCCTGCAGAAATTTTTTTCACAGTGGGGAGCCCACTGAAAAACCAGGGGTGGCACACCAAAACTAATATCTATAACAGAAAATTTATGATGTGTTTGTAAAAATGACAAATTGAAAACTATTGCCAACAGATGTTCAATTTATAATTTCACAGATAATATCACTGATTTTATGACATTCAGAGACAAAAAACAAGAGTAAGTATTTGTAATGTTGGGGAACCCACTGGCGGGGGGTCTCGGGGTTCTCCCCCAGAAAATTTTTAAAGAAGTAAATGCTATTTCCTGAATTCTGGTGTATTTTAGCAGGTTGTTAAACAGATTTTTACCTACATAGGAAAAGCAAGAGAAACAACACTGGATGAACTAATGTTTTATGGTAAATGTGGGGGTTTAAATGAATTAAATTTTAAATTTGATTGAGACAATTCCCTTCAAAAATGATTGTCATTTTATTTAGAAATTTTATTTTTACTGGAAAAGTACTTGAACAGTGAGAAACATGTCTTTTGTACATAATTTCCATTTTCTTTTGAACAACATCAACAATAAAAAACAGAACAAAGAAAACAACAGAGAAAAATAAAAAATACAAATAAATAGATAAATGGGGGGGTGGGGGGTGGAGTGCATGGTCCCGTAGAAATGGAGATCCAAGGGGTTAAGAGAATGGGGCGTCACAAACACTAGCGAAGTCCAAATTGAAATCAATGAAAAACGAAACAAAGACGTTCAGTCCTGCTCACTGATGTAATTATACAAAGTCAGATCTTATGGGTTTCACATATGCAGTCCATTTACTCCAGATTGAATAAAATTTATGTATTTGCACTTTGAGTGAGTAGGACAGTTTTTCCATTAAGAATAAATCATGTACTGTGTCAATCCAATCATCAATAGTTGGTGGCTCAGTTTTAAACCATTTTTTGGTTATTGCTTTTTTGCTAGCCACTAGTAACATATGAAGTAATTTTTATGGTGTGCATCCCAATGGTTCAGAGTCAAGTCTCCTAGATATGAGGTCTCCCACTTAAAAGGAATGTTTGAGACAAATACATTATTAATATGTTTGTGAAGTTTAATTCAATAGTCCTGAATAACTCGACAGTTCCAAAAAATATGGTAGTGATTGGCCTTAGCCGTACCACAGAGTCTCCAACAATCTTTTCCTGCACCCTGATATTGTTTTTGTGCTGGTATCATAAAAAATCTTATCACATTCTTCCATCCAAATTCTCACCATAAATTTGATCCAGCAGACAACCATTGTATTTGACAAATTTTTCCCCAATTTTCCTCAGGTATTTTCACGTTTACTTCTTTTTCCCACGTCTTCTTAATGTAATCTGTGTTTTCTTGTTTACATAACTGTATACCATTGTATAGTCTTTTTATTTTAGTGCATGGTTTTCCTTCAAACATTGTTAGAAAAAACACTTTTACAAATTCAGAACCATTACTAACATAAAATTCTTTCAGATTCTGATTATAGTATTGTCTGATTTGCAGGTATCTATAAAAGTCTTCCTTTTCTAAATTTATATTTATTTCTCAAAGATTCAAAGCTCTGAAATACTCCCTTGTGGGCAAATGAGAAATAGGTGGATAATTCCTTTGAAACCATTTTTTAAAACCTGCATCATTTTTTTATTTTTATTGAAACAGTCTAGATTCGAATTTGTATTTATTTAATTTTTGCGAGTTTTTAAAAGTTTGATAAAAATTCACTCTACAACTGGATGGAAACATGATTAGTGAGATTGAATTAGAAGTTTGTCACCCAGCTGAGTTCTGCTCAGCCTGCTTGGTTTCTGAAAGCTCAGGTCTGAGCGGGATGTGGCCAGCTCCATCTGTGCTGTACGAATAGTCAGAGGGAGCTTAAAGACCGACCCGTCTGTGTGGCCGTTTATCATGTCTCAGGAGTTGACTATTGTTGTTGCAACTCCTTTGAATGATCAAATATATTATTTCTAATAAATTTAGCTTTAATTAGTTATTTTATACTTAAAACATCATGTAACACCATGATTGTGAACAGTGAAGATAGGCCTTAAACGCCACATCAGTAGTGCACAGATTCTGGTTCCACTTGGTTTGGGGTTAGTATTCAATGTTTCTGGTTCAAAGATTGATTGAAGCTTTAAATCTTTGGTGACTTGTGTTCTTACTGCTCCACACATCCTGTCCTGCAGCTGACTTTGGATTTGCACGGTACCTGCAGAGCAACATGATGGCAGCAACTCTGTGTGGCTCACCCATGTACATGGTCAGTAACTTGGACTTTTCTCCTTTTTTAATTGCAGTACATGAAGATGTGTTTTCATTGTACCCACAGCATGAGGGTGGAATGAGATGTTCTTGAAGTCAGCTTTGTTAAAATTACACCCAGTTTATTACTGATTATAGATGGATGGTTAAACTGAAAGAATTCTGACACAAATGGCTGAATTCTTGTTAGTTTTTTTGTTCCGCCACATCTTTTCTGTTGAATTCAGAGGAAGAGACATAAAAAAACCTTTAATTAGGAACCAGCAGTTAATATTTTTCACATTTTGTGTGATTTGTATCTGAAATATTAGAGAGGTGTTTTATGTTCAGATGAACACAAAGTCTTTAGGACAGGATTTAATATGAAACCTTTAAGGATCCTCTTTCCTAAATCTGTGTTTTGATCCTTCCTCAGGCCCCAGAGGTCATCATGTCCCAGAACTATGATGCCAAAGCAGACCTGTGGAGCATAGGAACAGTTATCTACCAGTGTCTGGTTGGCAAGCCACCGTTCCAGGTTAATACTGTCACCTTACAACGCTTCACAAATAGCCTTTTGTTTCATTGTGCCTCAGGTTATTTCATTTATTCATCACTGCTTTCAGGCCAACAGTCCCCAAGATTTAAGACTGTTTTATGAGAAGAACAAAAATCTCCAGCCCATGTAAGTAAAAGTCATTCATATTTCACATTTAAAGTGAAAATGGCACTTTWAATTATCGAAGATATAATTCTTTATTTGCTTTATTAAATTCTTTGTGGAGCGGCTAAATATGTGTTTTGGTTTGAACAGCTAACTTTTTATGAAACTGTGACGTTTATGACGAGAAATTCTATAAATGTTTAAAATGTCAAATTTTCTCTTGTCCTGCAAAACATGGAGCTTTCTGCTTCATAATAAAGTATTTTAAAAGTGTTAAGTGAGACTGCGGGGACCTTCACTGAAAAAGATATTAAAACTTAACGTAAAAAGTTGAAGTGTGTCCAACCGAGATGTTCTGCTTCTGAAAATGCTTTAAATATATTTTTACTATATTGATAATCAATATAGAAAATGCTTTAAATATTAAAAAAGTGAGTTTGTTGATCAAAGGCAGAAATCATGTTTATCAACCTTGTTGTTCACAGCAAGCAGACGTCATGATGGAAGCTGAGCAATGAGTCAGAGTGTGACACATTCATTTCAAATCACTCACTGATTTAGAGTTTTTCCTGCTTGAGCATTAGTTTTATTCAACTGACAGTTGGTTCAGGCTTTTCTGGAGATCTTTAAAAACAGGAAGTTGCTACATTTAACTCATCAAAATCTAGATTATACGTATATAGTATATATGAAGTATGTATTTGGGAGTATGCTCGGCTACTATCACACCAAACTTTAGCTCATTATTTGTAAGACTGAGTTATAATCTTAGAGGACCAGCATTACAGTGGGTATCTAGGTATTTGAAAGGAAATAGTTTGTACAATGAATGAAAGAAGATCTGAACTCTGTAACATTACATGTGGAGTGCCTCAAGGTTCTGTACTTGGTCCAGAGTTATTTATTTTATATGTGAATGACTCGGTAAACGTGTCAGGGCTTTTTAAATGGGTTTTATTTGCAGATGACACTACATTTTTTGTTTTGGTAAAAATATGGAACGGATCTTGGAGATGGTGCAGACAGAATTTGTTAAAATATAAACTTGAAATTATCGTTATATTTGGATAAAACTAATTATATGATATACAATAATAAAAAGAGACCTGTTGATGTTCCATTGTATTGAGATCTATAGAGTCAGTGAGGTGAAGTTTCTGGGTGTCATCATTGATGAAAAGCTGACATGGAAAAATCATATAAATAATTTAAGAATAAAAATAGCCAAATCTATTGCAGTACTACAAAGCAATGGGGTTAATTTATTAATAAAGCTTTGTATATGGTGTATAATACAATAATTGTTGCACACTTAATTTATAAGTCTGGGGGAAAACATGTAAAACAGTAATCATAAAATCAGTTATGTAGTGGAAATAAAAATGATAAAGATGAAYAAGGGTGCCCAAACTTTTTCATATGACTGCATATTTGAAGCTTTTTCTGCAAAAACTGCTGTAAATACCACCTGTTGTATTACTTAAATTTGAAGTACAGCTGGTTCAGCAGCTAGCTAAACTAAATACTGATGATGTTCCCGTTACAGAATCCCAACAGAGACCTCTCCACAGCTCAGTAATCTATTGCTGGGGCTGCTGCAGAGGAACCAGAAAGACAGAATGGACTTTGGTGAGTGTTTACTCTAAATGCAATGTAAAGTTGGTATCAGTGGTGTTTTCACATAGTGTGATGTCATAGTGTATTCTTTTTAATTTGCTCTGTTTCTGTCATTTTCTCTCTGCAGACAAATTTTTCAACCACCCTTTTCTGGAGTCAGCGTCTACTATTAAAAAATGTAAGAACAAAGGTCTCTTTCCTGGGAGGCTTGCTGCACAACGTGCTCTCATCATCCGGGCTTGAAAACTTAATTAACGGTGAGTTTATTTCCCCTCAGCGTGTCCGGTGCCGGTCCCCAGTGCCTCCAACGCCGGGATGGAAAATTCCTGCAGCAGCTCCCCGTGCATCCGCTACAGCTCTCCTCCTGTGAGTTTGATATTAAACCCTCGTTGAGATGGGATTACTTTCAGACTGTAAATAAGTTCAGGAAATATTAACTGTGCCGTGCTTCTGTTTTTGCTGCTTACAGAGCAAACTAATGCTGGGACAAAATAACATCCCTCATCAACAGTTTGATAACGTAGCACGTGATCTGACCTGCTAATGTTCAATTATTTAAAGTGCCTGTGACGTCAAATTTTTGTAATAAACATGAATGCATTTTTGAAAAGACAACATTGATAACATATTGCAAAACAAATTTCATGCTGCTGAGATGAACAGTTGTTGAGATGTTTACAGGAAGTGATGTCAAAGGGGAATGTCTGCATGTAAACAGAGTGTCGTTACAAAAGTTAACAGCACAGACTGTAGAGACAAATTTGATGTTTCTTCAGATTGTTTTTAGTCGCTATCAGAGATGAAGAGTTAAAGTTAAAAAAATATTGTTTTAATAAACAAAAAGACCAGCAATTTTATTTTATTAATGAGTTCCCCTTTGATGCCACTTCCTGTTTTACTTTGGCTGAGCCAAATTCAAAAGACAATAGGCCAGTTATGTGACAAAATGGGTAAAATTGTGTGTACTATGCCAACTTTCTTAAGTTTAAAGATGTTTTCTTTGACTTTTTGTATTTGAAGGATAGGCATGTCACAGGCACTTTAAGATGACCGCCTTTCAAACACACTGGTTGTTTGAAAATTCACATAYTCTCAGCTGAGCCTCTCAGTGAGGTCAGGTAGTTTTAACTTTATGAATACAACAAAGCAATCCAATCCAAGGTTGTCAGTGTTATTTTGATTATTAGTATTTAATCTAACAAAAGACAAATTTAATTTACAGTTGGTAGTGTAAAGAAATGATCTAATGTCTCCTCTCTGTCTGTGAACAGTCTCTTCCGGACATGCAGACTCTAGCTGAGGATTGTCTGTCGTCCCCTCCGCTTGGCCCTCCCAACTTCCTGCAGCTGTCCAAAGAGTCTGCAGGAAGTAGCAGCAGCAAGAACTCCTCCTGTGACACGGATGATTTTGTCCTGGTGCCTCACATCTCTACTGACAGCTGTAAGTACATTTACTAACGTCGTACTTCCACACGTAACGCTCAACCTGCAGGGTTTGTGAGCTCGTCACTGATGGATGTTTGGTAATGCAGAAATGAAATCCATGTGAGAGGCAACCAAACAATAATCTGAGTTCAATCATTTGTGTTGTAACAGCCTGTATACTTGTAGGAAACCATGTAACTGTTTGTGTGTGTGAGTGTGGGCTGTTTTAAAACTGTCAGCCCACTCAGACTAGCCATTAGCTCATCAGTCCAGTCATAATTAAACCTTATTTCTTCAAACTGAGGAGGAGACGTCAAAGACCATCTACAAGAAGTAACAGAAACACCTTTAACCTTTGCCTTTTGTCACGAATCACTCCTAAAACTTTTATCCAATGTCAATGTCAATTTTATTTATATAGCACATAAAAAACAACAGAAGTTGGCCAAAGTGCTTCACAGTTCAGCCAAATGAATAAAACAATTGAGCAACACATAAATGTAGACAGTAAAATCAATTTAAAATACAGAAAAACATTAAAAACATTATCATTAAAAGAATCTCAAACACTACCAGAATGAAAGGCCAGGGAGTAAAAGTGAGTTTTAAGTAGAGATTTAAAAGTCTCAACAGTCTCAGCAGTCCGTATGCTAAGAGGTAAATCATTCCAAAGGTTTGGGGCAGAAACTGCAAAGACCTGATCACCTCTAAACTTTAGCCTGGATCCAGGAACATCTAAGAGGAACTGGTTGGACCGAAGTGCTCTAACTGAAGTGTGGATGTTAGTGAGATCACACAGGTAGGATGGGGCCAGACATTTTAAAGCTTTAAAAGTAAGCAATAAAATCTTAAAATTTATCCTAAAATGAACAGGAAGCCAGTGGAGAGAAGCCTGAACCAGGGATATGTGTTCGTATTTTTTAGTTCCTGTTAAAAGACGAGCTGCTGCGTTCTGGACAACTTGTAATCGATGCAGAGAAGATTTATCTAAACCAACAAAGAATTACAATAATCCAAACGAGATGTAATGAGAGCATGAATCACTTTCTCAAGGTCTTTGTTTGGGAGGTATGGCTTCACCTTATCAATAAGTCTTAGCTGGAAAAAACTTGATTTAACCACTGAGTTTATCTGCCTGTCCAATTTGAACACATTATCAAAAATGAAACCCAAATTTCTGACAGCAGAGCAGCTGTATGAAGCCAAAGGACCAAAATTGTCAGGAGAAATGTCTTTACCAAAGCTGATGACTTCTGTCTTACTTTAATTTAGATTCAGGAAATTTAATTTCAGCCAGATTTTTATGTCATTCAGACAGCTCAGGAGTGATTTGAATGAATTAATCAACCCTTGCTTGATAGGCAGGTAGACCTGAATGTCATCAGCAAAACAATGGAAAGGAATCTTATATTTATTAAAAACGGACCCCAGAGGCAACATATAAAGATTAAAAAGCAAAGGACCTAGAATAGAGCCTTGTGGGACCCCACAAGTCAGAGGAGCTGTAGAGGAAGAGCAATCTCCTAAATGAACAGAAAAACTTCTATTTGTTAAGTAGGCTCTAAACCAGGATAAAACTGTTAGTTTGGTAAAACTTTTCTCCATCCACTCCATCCTGCCTGGACTTTGGTCTTCACCTCTGYACCACGCTCCCTGTCCCTCCTGGACAGTGGGCTTTAAGCTGTGGTGGCCATCTTGATGTGGGGGTTAACCTAGATGTAAAATGTTGTAGTACATGCAATGGTTACTTTTTTAAGAGTTTCCTTACATTTTTTAAGTCAGTTGATGAAATATTTTGCTCCCAAACAGTGTTGGGTAGTGTGTAGGTGGTAGTAGTGCTCAGACTGTGAGGGTTGACTCACAACCACCACAACAAATTTTAGCTCAATGTCTATAAAAGTAGCAGAGTTGTAGCCACTTTGTGTTGAGGTCAGCTGACTGTGGTTAACTTCAAACATTTATCAGTTCTAGATGTACTGTTTATACTTCCTCTCAGTCAGTGGTGGGCACCAGCCCGCTAAAGCGCAAATCCGCTAATTGCGGACCTAAATTTTTCGTTTGCACTTTAGCGGTCTTACTAATTTTTATAATTCATAAGCGTATTTATGCTTTCTAAAATTAAAATGCAGTACCACTAATAACTAATTATCTACCAGTCATCATTATGTTGAACAGCAGAAGGTATGGCTGTCAATGAATCACAACACACGTGATCTATCCAACAGCACCCCTCCCAGATAAACACACTTATTGTGAAGGTATACATCCTTGCTGACCGTTTCTTTGGGCCACGGTTCTCATTTCCCACAATGCTTTGTGTCTGCTTACGTAGCAGGAAGACAACAGCAAAACAGTAAACATTTGTAATTCATACTAAAATTTTGTATGTATTGATTTATTTTACTTTACAAACAGAGCTCCTTTTAAAAAAAGTTTAAACACTGGAGCTCAAAGCAATTGGTTAGAGACTCAGAAATGATTTAAAGATGTTATGCTGGTGAAGACTKACATCTAGTGGTCAACTGGAGCAACTACATGAAAATGTCCTAATCCAGGTAGAAAAAAATCAAAAAGAAAAAATAAGTAGGTCCTCTGGATGGTTCTTCTTTAGTGAAA